CCCCCCCCCCCCCCCCCCCGGTGACAGGGCGTAATTGCAATCACGAGGCCTCGCGGACGTTGCAGATGCTAAACGGCGACTTGATGAACGGCGAACTGAAATTGCAGGCTGCTGCTGACCTGAAGGGGTCACGCACACGATGAAGCGATCAATAAACTGCTTTCTAATTCCAACACTGCAGATGACACCGACTGGTTTTAAATGTTACTTATTGTACAATGAGCATGCACTGTATGACATTATGAAGGTTTTAAACTAGCTCTTGCAGGGCCAGCCGCTCATCTGTTTCTTCAGGTTGTGTAATTAATTTAGTGCTTCTTTAAAGTACTCTTCTGTTATTATTACAGTACCTATGTCAATGCCGCTCTGCCCCACGGGGCATCGTTTTAACTTCCATTTAATCAGATCGCTGGCCCCAGCCTTACTTTTCCTCTTCTGTTCTTCTTCTGGATTTGATTAGAAGACTGGCAGTCGCAGAGGCCTTCCAGAGTTTACCTCGTGAGTGAAGTGATGCAGATTGAGGCGGCGGGCCGCCAGGGCCACCACGTTCCGCTGAGGGTCCACGTGGACAGCTGCGTGGCAACCGTGAGCCCGGACCCCAACTCTCAGCCCGCATACCCCTTCATCAGCAACCACGGGTGAGGCACGGTGGATCGGCTGGGGGAAAAAAAGAAGAGACAGCTGGTCATAATAGCCAAGCTTTAGGTTCCGTTTGCATATCTCATGCCGGGTCTGTGCTCGTGAATATGAATCCTGCGCCTGTATTTTCCCATATAAGGTGTTTGAGTGACGCTAAGATGACGGGAGCCAAGTCTTACTTCATGCAGAGGCGCCAGGAAGATAAACTTCACTTCCAGCTGAAAGCCTTCAGCTTCCCCCACGATCACAGGAATTCAGTAAGTTTGAACTACTGATCTGGAATCGTATAGTCAGACATCTGACTTCTCAGGCGGTTCTGTTCCTGCAATTTGATCACAGAGTGTCTCGAAGTGTTACTTTAACATTCCTTTCGGCGGTCGTCTCGTCTCTTACGCGCTAAGTTGGCACATAAAGTACACATTAGTAAGTGTTGTTTGAAGGCTGTAATACCGTCTGTTATCTGTGCTTTAGTTCAAATACTTTCCAACTGAGGACACGACAAGTCTTCTCACTTTATTGTAATATAAGTTGGTGGAGCTGGGCCATGAATAAATGGCAGGAAATCTCTCTCGTGCATCTGTACAATCAGAGCTTTGGATTTTAATTAACTTTGTGCGTTTTTGCTAATTAGGAAGTTCTACTCCCATATGCAACAGACTGCTTTAAAATCCGTTCTTAAAGACTTCGTGTTTATTGAGGTTTTGGTACAAAACAAGAAGTGTTTGTATATAAACGCCCAAAAAGAAGGTGAAAATCAATGCCAAACACTACTTTTACAGCAGCAGTTACAGAAATGATTCCTGCTTCTACGTGGGGGAATTGAATAAGTGGAGATGCAGTCTGTGCATTATTCTGAACATCACTAACTGTACATGCTGATTTATTTTTAACATTCTCATAGTTCTACATCACATGTCTCCTGAAAGCAACGCAAGTCTCCAAGCCCATCGACTTGCAAAACAAAGCATGTTCCTTCTTGACTGAAGCTAACAGGTTTGCTAAATTTCTTTTAATTTGACTCCTAATGCTGTAACGAGATTCCTTCAGCCTCTAACGCACCGTGCCGTTGTCTCTGGACAGATGGGTGGCGTCAGGTGGAGACAACGCGGTGTGTGGTTGCTGTGAGACCAGCTGCAGCGAGCAGAGACAGAAAAGAAGCCTCGCAGCAGATGTCGGTACAGTTTGCACAAGCAACACTACATTGCACTCTGGGATGAACATTTCATACCGACGCAGGGGAGACATTTAGACACGGCTGTCATATCGAATGTTTTCTGGTACAATCGACAAAAAGAGATCCCGATAAAAGGTATTTGCATGTCCGCCTGGATGGTTTTGAAGTAGCAGGCCTCGCCCAATTCTGTTTAGAAATGAAGCCAAATGATTGCCAGCAACGAGGAGTGAAAGACTGAAAGTGCCTTCGTTTGACGCTGTTTTATGCATCTTCGGAGGATTGATTTTATTTTTTTGTTGCGGTTCCTCCAGAGCCGCAGAGGGAGGGGACGGTGGCTCAGGGCCCCATCCTGCTGGAGGAGCTGACCGAGCTCCAGACTCAAGCAGGTAGGACGGCGCCGGTGGTTTTCACACACGCGTAACACGCAAGACTGGAAGATACGTTCAAATCCACTTTATTTTGTCTTCTCTCCGTCCCCAGCCTCCCGTCAGTCGACGGCCCTGCTGTGTGGAGTGTGTGCGTCGCTGGCCGCGCTGCTGCTGGCTTTCATGGGGGCCTCCATTTGCGGCAGATGCTACAAACCCACTGGACACTTTGTTTGCACCTGATAAATAAAACATTTAAAAGCCTCAACTTTCCTTTTTACGTTCTGCTGAAGCAAAAAATGAAGAAAAATAAGCTTGAAAGATGGAAATGACCCACCTTGAATGAATGTTTTTAAGCTTGCAGTATTTCTCTGCAGGAGGTTCTATTTGGTTGCATCTGGACAGTATGTTGCTCACTATATTCCAGTTTTAGTGCGAAGGCTTGCTGGGGTTAAGCTGTGGTGTCCAGCTTTGCAGAAAATTTGCTGGCTGTAACATGTGCACACAATGAGGCACCGCATATTGCTCCATCAATCAGAGGGCTTCAATACCAAGCAGTGTTTGAGACTCGATGCAATAAATGTATACTTTACTGAATATGGTTTTCATAATGTGCAGGGGGGGTGTTTTGAATGGGAGGGGGTACGAGTCTGTATACAAGTGCTTTGCAAACCAGATGACAAAGGCGAGCGGCGAAGTGGCCCAAAGTGTTCATGCTTAATTCATGCAGGGATGATTTGCATGGTTAATTCTAAGGGAGCGTGCGGCTAGTCAAGGCACTGCCCCGATCTCAGGGAGCTGATCTAATGCACTCCATTGCTAGCAAGCTGCCATGTAATTCACTTGAGCTGCATGAGATTGTCCCATCTTTATACTAATCCACATCAAGAGAACCCTGGCAAAATGAGACTAAAAGCTGAGCGCCGTTGGTTTCGCACTGCGCGGGGAAAACATAAAAACACCGTCCCGGTGGCAATAGTCATATTTTAGCTTCGGGCCACTTTTGGGTTTTTCCCTTTTTATTTCCCCCCCCCCCCTCTAGTATTCATGCCACTGGTGGAGTATTTCGTGAAATGGGGCTCATCATGAACTGTTGCTCACAAGCCCGGGAAGACGAATAGACATAATTAAAAAGCCCATAAAGGCGAGAGCAGGGACTTTTATTACAGTAATATGTGAAGGCCTTGCTTTAATGGGGTGTTTGTTCCCGTGTGCGGGAATGACGGCTGCGCTACTTTACTGCTGACCCCCCCCCACCTCCCCTCCCATCTCCAACACACCAGAGGCAAATAAAAAGCCATACCTAACGATGCGACAGCAGGAAAAAAACAAGCAGCATGCACACTCGAGGGACGGTGATAGACGCACACCCACGATGCCTCTCCCCCAAAACGAGTCACGGAGGATGTGGGGACAGGAGTTTATTGTGGTTCTCAGACGGAGGAGACGGAATAGAGGACAACAAAGAAGATCAGAAGAAGTTATTGGCCTTTAGGTGATGTCTGTGGAACACTATAAAGACGACATGCTGCTGATTACACAAGTTCTCCTTTAGTCAGATAAATACAAAATCAAATCACAAACTGTCACACCATTCAACATTCGGCTTGCTTTTTTTACATTCAAAGCTTTGCCTGCAGCTTTAAGAGGAGTCAACAGAGTGTAAAAGGTGTTGATGTCCTGTTATGACCGCAGAGGATCATCACCATCACCATCATCATCACACCAAGGATGGTCGCCCACCCACAGATGTCTAACGGTCACGGCGGCATGGACCCAGAGCAGACAGGCAGGATGGCAAAGAGTCCTGAATCAGCCATTTTACCCCTCGACAGGATGTGTGACCCCGAGGGCACACACAAACACACACACACGTGCTATCAAAAGTAATGGCGTGTGTCCAGTGGCAGGCGAGGAGAGTCCTCTCATGTCTGGCAGCCATAACGATATTATTGCTGTAGATGGAGCGTGCTGGGGAATATTGTTCCGCACCATTTGTACGCTGCGATAGTCCACGCTGTGATGACAGAAGTCGGCATTAACACCAGGCCTGTTGGTTGATGATTTTGTGAAGAAGCAACAACATGTGGATTCCTCCTCAAGACAAGAAAACTGGGGTTTTTCTTTCCTTTTTCTCCAACAAAGAAAGACACAGGTGACCATTGTCAAAGAGATGGTGCTGTGTTATTACTCGCAGCCTTGGAAATTCAAGGCAGACATCTCTATAGAGATACAATCTGACTTCAATTATTCCTTGAATTTGAATGAATATCAAAGGCTGTTTAATTTAGGCCACGGGCGCTCATTGTGTTATAATACGGCTCTGATACAGACTGCAGTATTACATCTGGGTCTGGAGAACAGGCGGCCGCGCGCGAGACCTCTGTCCAGGCCCATAATTAACCCTCTTAATTAAAGGAGGGGAGAAAAAAAAGTTGCTAACGAAGGAAATGGATTTAATTAGCTTGGTCTTAGCCCAGGCACATGTGCACGCCGCGCACTCTCACAAAACAATTAAGCCTCTTTTATCCTGGCTAATGGCTTCAGTGACTCAGAGCCTTTCTCATTAAGACTATCAATAATATGCTGATTACATGCATCCACCGCTCTGCTTTTATCGGGGGCACAAAGGGACGAGCGGCGTGTCCCCCCCCCCGAGGTTTCCAGGGGTGGGGCGGTCTGTCTGAGCGACGGTATCTTTCTGAAGTAGACGTTTGGATTGTTTTGGTAGAGGAGGCTTGGCTTCATTTTCTGCGGTTTATCTCATCGAGTGAGGCCCGCGTGTCTCTCACGGGGAGGAAATGCCTCTGAAGTTGTACTGCTGAGGGCTTTATGGGGGCGAGATGATAGACTGAGAGGGCCAATAGACTGCAGGGCCGTAGATCTGTCTGCTCGTCTGTCCATCCGTGTTGTTTGATCCTATTTGAGCATAAGTCTAAATTCGTAATATAGGTCCTTTAATTAACTTCTCCTCTCTCTCTTTCTCACCCGAACCGCTGAGGCGCGAGTTCGAGACCCGGAGAGTAAAGACAGACGGACAGGCGTCTGTCACACGGGCAGGAAAACAATAGGCCTGTGCGTTGACCTTCAGTCTCTTCCTGTTGTAACAGACACTGGGGGCCCCTCCCAGAGGAGGGGAGAGGAAAGCGGGTGGCTTGACCTGCGCTGCCACACCTTCACCCTCCCACCCTCCCACTCCCACTCTACGCTGCATCCCCAAACATCCCTGATGGGGGGGGCTGCCACGCTCCCTCTGATCTCCGCTGTTTGCCAGTTGATGCTATTGTGAGGTTTTGTTTTGCATCCAAGTTCTGAGGGTCTCGTGTGGCCACCTACGGAGCTGACTTACAGACCTTTGTTCGGTTCCCGGCCTCACTTCCTCAAACTCTATCTGCTGAAGAAAACCACGAGATGTAGTTGAGAGCTCAAACAACCAATAGCATCCTTCTGCTCAACAAAATGTCTTTCAAACTCCATCAGTGGAGGTTCTCTTTAACATCGTGATACTGATTCCAGACACATTGTCCAGCCCTTTGTGCCGGCGTAAAATAAACAAAGTACTGAGCATGGGGATAGCCTGTTTCTACATGGAGCTAATGTATTAGAAAGGACAACAAATCTGATCCATGAAAACACCTGTAAGCCATTGATTTGTGTCAATAAGTAGGGTTATAGACTTTGGCCTTTCTGCATATGATTCATAACTACACTGCAGCCTACATTCACATCTTTGAATGTCAATGTTCCACCTCGGGACGACCTTTCGGAGCTCAAGATTACAAAACAGAAAGAGCTCAGGAAGGATTAATTCACTGAAACCTTTTCTTAAAGTTGCAGGTTCCTTTCCCCCCGAATTGTGTTCTCCTCAACCGCATGTCGACGCGCCACGCGAGCCAAATGCAACAACTCAAATAAAGTATTTCTCGGAGGCCTCGCTGTGTTTTTTCCGCGGCTCCTCGTCAGCTGTGCCAACAGCACCTCGCAGAACCTCTCCGGCCCAGTGCGGGATAAATAAATCCCCATGCTGGGAAGCATCTGCACCAGGGAAGTTAACGCGGATGTGACTTGCTGCAGAACAGATGTCTTTTCTGACTGAAATAACACAAGCTCTATCCCATCGTGAGCCCAACACCTTCCTTTTAACCGCCAGGAGGATAACCACAACAAAAGGCCCCCGTCTTCCGTTTATTCCCGCTTTAGATGTGGGTGTTTTTTTTTTCTGGTACACAATGGATGAAAATGTTCTGGCCTTTGTGTTTGATGTGGACTTTTGCTCTTCCCCCCCCCCCCCCACACCCTTTGGCTGCTTTTCATTTGCTTTAAAGGAAATGTGCTGAACAAAGCTTTCAGGTGCATGACAAGGACGAAGGGATGAGAAGAAACGAAGAAACTCAGGCCTCTTATTTACGGTTTTCTAATGTACACATATTTGTCCTGTAGACCACGACCTTTAATCCTGATTGGCACGCCGAAAAGGCCGGATGAACACACAGCACACAAACACACACACTCCTTTATCATTCAAAGTGCGGCAGAGCTATCAACCTGAATAAATAAATCCCCCCTCTTATCTCACAACGCAAAACTGGATAAGCGCTCCCACCCGGTCTGGATGGAGGAAACTCTCAGCGCCTCTATTTTCGGTTTGCTTTTTTGCCTCATACAGAGACAGAATCCTGTTTTTCTCTCCAATCCATCCTCCGTGGTTTTTCAATCCTCGGGAGAGTCGTTTCCCTCCATGTGCGTGAGACGCATACGCGTCCCGCCACGCCGGCCATACATGATCCCTCTTTCCTGCTTATCTTTCAGCGCTGGGCCTATATCTTTCAGCAGGTGGGGGGGGGGTAAAGCTGCCACGGCTGCAGAAATTTCCAGGTTGGGTGGAAAGAAAACAGGATTTTCCAAGTTGTCAGCCTTTAAACCTGTTTGCGACGTATATCTGCCATTGCTCGTCTCCACGCCACTGCCTTCCGGGATCACGCCCACATGTCTGTTTTGACACCAGAGGACCCTAGTTTCATCCCAGGCCCAATTTCAAGCTTCACATATAAATACCAAGATCCCGGATGCAAAATAAAAGAAATGCATACAGTACATCATATCACGCCCTGCAGCTCTGTTGGATAATGACTGCTCTTCCGCTGACATGATTTGTAGTCGACACTGTTCAAGAGGAGTTTGTCAAGAATAATCGCTGTTGGCCTTTGATGGCGTGCGCCTCAGAACAGTATTTTCCATTCGCC